GTGTGGACATGCGCCTCTTTGAGGATTAATAATTATTACTGTAAGAAATCAAATTTCTGATTGACATAGATTGGGTCACTTGTTACCTATAAAGTTCATGTGTGTGTTGAGTCTCCCAACTCAAACTAGGAATTACAGGAGAATGAGGGGGTGTTGAGAAAGATAAGGAGCAAGTATCTGGAAGGAAATTTTTTAATTATGTATCTGCATAGCACCTGCTCCTAGCCTTTCAGAGTGTTTGAGATAGCTATACATTCACATAAGCCGCTATTTGCCGAATACGTCTACTGCATCATGCTGCACACTCATCTACACATTTTATTATTTATTTTATTTATTTATGTTAGTGGTGGGGCATGCACTTGTCATGGAAAGATTGTAATGGTCAGAAGACAACTTTCAGATTTGTTCTCTCCATCACTTGTGTTGTAGGAATCAAACGTAGGTCATCAGGAAGCTTCCCTACCCACTGAGCCATCCCGCTGCCTCTGAACACTTACTTTGGGAGAGAGCATGTCTCCTTTTTCCACTTTTTGTATCCAGCACCCAGCACAGTTCTTAGTGTGGCGTGGATGTCCAATAAATGTTTATTCAATAACTGTGATACCAAAAAATAAAGCGGTGGCATGCAGGGCAGTACATAACGCATGTTTCAGTTCACTTGTGTTACAACAAATGGTCCAAGACTACATAATGAATAAAAAAGTGGGAATCTATTGCTCACAGTTCCAGAAGTACAGGGTCAAGATGTCAGTCGTTTTGGTGTCCGGTGAGGGTTTGGTCTCTTTTCTAAGGTGAAGCCTTGAATGGTTCTTATCATGGAGAGGACTGATGTGTCCTTATATGACAAATGGGACAGAAGGTCAAAAGGGGCCTAATCTAATTCGTACCAGGTCTTTTATAAGGGCTGAGCCCTTATGATTCAATTATATTCCCCAAAGATTCTACTTCTTGGTTTTATTTGTTTTGTTGATACAGGATCTTACTCTGTAGCCCTAGCTAGCCTGATATTCAATATGTAGCCCAGGCTGGGCTTCAAGTCATGGCTACCCCACTGCTTCAGTCTCTTAAGTGCTAGAATTGCAAGTGTGTAACACAATACCTCTCTAAAGACCCCGGGTCTTACTATTGCCACCAGGGGAGTTAAGTTGCAACATAAATTTGGGAGGGGACATATTTAAATCATAGTGTTGGGTCCAAAGGGAACCCCAAAATGCCAGTCTTGGCTTAGCTCAAACTGGGCTGTAAGAGGGAGAAAAGCTCACAGACAACATTCCTTAGGAACTTATGAAATGGGTTTTTGTCTTCCAGAAAAGGGCAGCTCCTTTTACTGTGCCTGGGGTAACACGTCAAAGCCCCTGCTAGCCTCCAGCCAGTTTCAGGCCCTATGCATTTCAAAGTCCACACTAGCCTCCTGGCCTTTCTCACCTCCTCCTCTACCCTGGACTCCCAGTCTTTTCTAGTTCACAGGCAACCCTTTCCCCATCTATTCGAGCTCCCTATAACTTCCATTTTAGCTCCCTATAACTTCCATTTTTCCACCGCCACCCCCCCCCTTCTCTAATCCTGGCCATGTCTAGTCTGCTTCTTTTTCTCTCTGCTTTAGATGTGTCCAAATGCCTCTGACTGACCTTTCTCTCTCTCTTACCTACAACAAAAACCTTCTCCCTAACCATGGACTGGCCAGGTCAGTGATTTCTTTACTGCACCCTTACTTCCACATAAGAACAGGACTTGCATTTTTATTTTTAAAAAAATGAAACCCCGTTCACTTCGGTCTCCTACTAGCTGAGCCCGCTTTGACCTTGCCCTCTACAGCCTCGGGCGTTCACCGGTGGAGTACAGTGGGCACATTTCTCATTTTGATGGCCGCTGAGATAACCTACACGAAATGTTCAGCCCACTGCAGGCCTTCCTCTGAGGGTGACTGGGTAAGCTGTGAGAAGGTGGAGGGAAGCCCTTTAGATAGCAGAAGCCCAAGACAGTGTCCACTGCCTGTCTCAGTGGGCAAAGAATGCTGCTCGCTTTTAAGTTAATTTCTAATTCCACCCTTTCCACCGTGGGCCACACACTCAGGGAACTTACCCCTGTTTGAGTATTTGATTTAAGTCTTAACTCACTGAGATCACTCTAGCTTTAAAGCTCTTTAGGAATCCCACCTCTTTCCCATTATAGAGAAAACGTTCTAAAACAAAAGGCGCTGGATGCTTTGCAATTGGCTCGGCAAGGCTAGTGGTACAGATCGGGGGCCTGCACTGGAGTGAGCCACGATGGAAGCGGGCATGAAGGTTATGTACTACAGCTAGGTGAAGCCAAAGCCAACAGAGGGGGCAATGCCAGAGATTTGTAAAGTGTTATGCCCAGATCGTGGGGACCCCCAAAAGACCACCCCGGAGACCGAATTCCATATGTAAAAGCAAAGAGCCTTTATTTTCAAGCCCGGAACTTGGGCTCTTTGTCAGACGCAGCAGTGAGAGCACAGAGCACAGAGCCCAGGCAGGGTGGTGTTTTTTTTATCATAGCAGAGGTTGCGGTGAGGGGATTTCTAGGGTCCAGGACCCTGATTGGCTGACATTTGTCTAGGGTTATAGGGAATGTTTGGAATGTCAGGTATTTCCCCTTAGATGCAGGCCCCCCTGGGTGGAGTCAGCTTATGGCTTTTTCCTGGGTCCAGGTGTTGCCTGCCAGAAGCGGTGTCTGGTCAGGCCTCTAAGCCTGTCATGGTAGCTGTGTGGTCAAGCTGTCCGCCCCCCCCCCTCCCCAAAGCAAGCTATCTGAAGTTCTTTTTTTTTTTCGGCAGGCAAAACTACCCCATAGCCTGATCTTTAATTGTTGTCAAATAATCCTCTTCCATGTCCCCGCAGATGTCACAACATCAACTTTAAAAGGTCAGAGTACACAAGTACCTGGGGCCCCAGAGGCAGAGGCCTTTGTGGGAACTTGAGCTGGAGGCTGCTGCCTCATGAGTGCCTTTAGCTTGGTTCCCATGTTCCTCCCCGCCCCTCGGATCTCCCTGGCCCAGCGCTCCAGCCACAGAGGCTGGCTTTGGGGTCTGTCCTGGGCAAATCTTTTTCCTCAGTGCGCTGGCTTCTCTGTCTAGACCTTCACCTCTGGGGGGGGGGCAGTCTACCTGATTTCCTGGTAATTTACATCTGTGCCTAGCTAGCCAAGCAGCTGGGGGCTTCTGGGCACTCTCTGGGCTTTGTTGCCACTTACATGTCACCTATTGTCTGTCCCGCAGGAGACTGAGCACCAGCAGAGAGACACAGTGTGTACCCTCAGCCATCACCAGAACTTCCCCATCGGGCCTGGCATGGGGGAAATACAATAAACGTGTGGCAGGAATTCAGGAGCCCAGCAGGAGTTAGTTCTCTTTGCTTTCCTCTCTCTGGAAGGGGTCCCTCTCCTGCAGAAGGTTCAAAACAGCATCCTGGGAAGGAGTTCCCTTGACTCGTGGGTCTAAGAGCCATCCAGACAAAGACCAACCTTTCCAGGGTCGTTGCCTCTCTTTGAGTATAGGGCAAAGCCTGTCTATTCTCTCCAAATTAATCTGTGCTAAAAACTCTGCTCAGAACTCTGAGACTTGGAGATTCTTAATGGCAGCGATTAAAAACTCTCCTAATTGGTTATCCAATCCCAAGTGTTCGGCTCTGAAACAATATACATAAGAGTAACACTCTTCCAGGCCAGCCTGGTCTACAGAGCGAGATCCAGGACAGGTGCCAAAACTACATAGAGAAACCCTATCTCGAAAAACCAAAAAAAAAAAAAAAAAAAAAAAAGGAACATTAAACAGACAGAGCATGTTGCATTTAGTTATTTAGGCATACATAAACAGTAACAACTAAAGGAAAAGAGGCGATTATTTCCAAAGAAAGCAAAGAGGAGGGGCACACACGGGGGAAGTTAAAGGGAGGAAAGGATATAATTATGGTGCGGAGAATCCCACAGAGCTACATCTGGTTTGACTCCATAGTGCTAATCCATCTTTTGTTTCCCGGTTATCGCTGTTTCTCTTGTTACCCTCTAGGTGAATCTTGCTGAGAGTTTCTAAGGGCACAAAGCCTATGCAGTCTTGGTTGAGGAACAATCTGGAAAACTGTGATATTCCTTAACTGAGAACCTGCATTTGGCATTGTCCCCTTGGGGAAGCTTAGATGAGAGGTGTGGGAGACGAAGATTAACTTGCTAAAAGGTGTAAATTGGAGAACAATGGAAGGACCCTATAGCTGGGAAAGGCTAATTAAAGATTCATCCTTGAGGTGCCTCTGTACTTCTTTCCATGGACGCATGTGAACTTACACCCACACCCAATACACAACAAATTATATTTTAATTTAAACAACACAAATAATCCAGGAGGAAAAAAAAACTGGAGGGAAAAAAAAACACGAGTTTTAAGACCATAATGTCTTAGAAAACTTTAAGTAGAGAGGGCTATGTATGTTCTTGGATTGCAACTTTGGTAAAAGCAAAAAATGCCTGTTTGTGTTTGTGTGAGTGTGAAAAATTTCCATCTATTTCTAGCTCTGAACTGCTCCCTCTCTGAGGTGTAGGGTCAGGCAAGCTTTCCACACTTTTCTCAGGTGTACCACCTCTGGCGGTCCGACGAACGTTTGTCCAGTGCAGGAAGTTCACATCTCGGTTGCAGGACAAGGAAAGCAGAAGCCCGGGAAGAAGCCAAGGCTGCAGGTGCGGCCGGTGCTGAAGGTGCGCGCGCAGGTGCAAGGACCGCCCTGGGCGGGGCTAGCGGTGATGAGGGGCGGGGCGAGCTGCGGGGTTCCTGCCAGTGCGGGGAAAACAAAGAGGGAGGGAAAGGTGAGTGTGAGGGACTGAGAAAGGGAAGAAGGAGGAGCTGGAACGGGAGGCCTGTGCAGAGGCAGAGGAGGAGTGATGCAGGCGGAGGAAGCCGGAGGAAGGTGTGCGGGAGGGGCGGAGGGGAGGAGCGGCCGGGCGCGGGGAGGAGTCTGCAAACTTTCAGTTCAAGGGCATTGTGGGAAGTAGCCATGGTCTGAGGCTGGTGCCTCACCTGTCAGCCTGCCCGGCTGCTGCTGCTACGCTCTCCTCTGGCTGCCGCATCCCTGGCGATCGCCGCTGTCGCGACCCTGGGCGGCTGCGGCCACCATGGTGAGTATGGCTGAGCATCTTGGTGGAGCTGGCCGGGGCGGTGCGCGCTCCGGGTGACACCTGAGGCTCCAGGGCCGGACATGCGGCAGGGAGGGGTGCGCGCCGAGCCTGGCCCCGGGTACCTCCGAGTCACACGCGCTGGCGGTCCGGCTACTCCGGACAGTGCAGGTCTCCCCCGCCTGCGAGTCCCACGGACACCAGGCACCGCGGCTTCATTCATTTCAATCTCCTTCGCTGATCGCTGGGTGCAAGCCAGGCACTGACTGGGGATGTCGCAGGGGACTAGGTGCTTACACTCTTGAGAGGATGCGGAGGGAAGGAGACTGTGATGGAATGGTGAAATAAAGATAACTTTCTAAGGTGAGGAGAAGCCTCAAGCAACCTGGCTGAAAGAAAACTTTTGAATCGGTGGTCCTTTTTGAGGAGGTGACATTTGAGCTATCTGAGGTCCTAGAAGGGTGCTGCAGTTGGAGGGATTAGCAAAGGTGAAGAAGAGAAATGAAACCCTGTTTTTGGCTGGAGAGGTGGGCGGGGTCCCATGTAGTATGGTCTATTTCATACGCTAGAGTTTTGGTTTTTGTTTCGCTCGAGTTTTGACAAGAAAGCCGACTTTATCCATTCAACGCTTTATGAACCTTTCGGCTGATGGCGTAGAGCGGACTGGTGTGTGTGTGTGTGTGTGTGTGTGTGTGTGTGTGTGTGTGT